TCCAAATAGGCATCATTTGCTGACTTTGTTTGTAATTGAGATTTTTTAATAAACTCGTCAAGTTTCTTATTATTGCTAGCCCATCCATTGGATACTTCTTTATGGCCACAAACGCACCACACGGGACTCCATCTCAGCAATCCACATGCCGAGCAGAAACCACGTAGGTAATAATAATGATAAACGCGATCGTATAATAATTATCATAATAGCGATAGACATCCTGAAGCAGAGTTGATCCGTAAACAAAAATTGCCACGAACACGTTCCAATAAATATTACACCTCACGTGATACGTATATTAATAGTGACCAGTAAAAATTAACATCTCATAATGTCCCCTCGATTAACCGACTTGAAACTAGCTAAAGAATGAAAACAACTATACACGGGTGTGTACGACAATCGTTAATATCTTAAAATGCTAATACTAATACCTTTACAAGCATTTAGTTTGGCACTGATATGTTTACTAGTAAAATATTTATGAGGGCGTAGCTCGAACAATTAGATAGCCACTAATAACCACTACTCGGAAGTTATTTTATTACAAACATTTGATTGTTTAATTTCTGGAAAACCGTCCATGGAGACTGAACTTCCGCTACGTATGTCGGCAATTACGCAGTTGGAATTTACGACTGATTTTAAAGATGAGGCCCAAAAAAGTCCATCGATTTAAAACTTCGTATATAACAGGTAACCAGGAAATTTTATTAGACAAAAGTTCGGGACATCAATTATCCAGGTTTCGTTATACCCAGATTCACCGTGTGTCAAATGTTCAGACCAGACAATATCAATTTAAGCGTTACTTAGTTTAACAATTTTTTTTTATTTTAAGAAATAGAGTCAAAACTAGCCAAATGAAAGAAAGCGACGGAATGAACGTTGAAAATTAAACGTATCATAATATATTGCACGCTTTACTATTTGCTATACAAAAGATAGCAAGACATAAAGGAATTTGATTCGTTAACGGAATCAATTTTCACATTGCGTGACATCATAATTTGTTCTCGTTGATTTGATTGGCTGAACCGGGTATTTGTAAAGGAAGCTACATTCTATCTTGTTAATATTACAACACTTGACTTCTTTTTATACAGCCTTATAATGGATTCTACGAATAACATGACGCAGCAAAACTTCATAGTAGCAAAGATGGACAGTTTAACAAATCACGACGATTTGGATCAGATTGAGAAACGACAAGAAAACATGTAAGGTTACCTTGAGCCCTTACTCACTACATTCCGACGATACAAGTAGCAATGAGTTCTGTAATCCTCTCATTATTCGTTAAATGCTGCTATCAGATACATATCATTGGAATCAGCAAGTAATGACATGAATGCACTTAACGAGTTATCGCAACAGAAATATGACGATCTTGTAAAGAAATTTGAAGCCAACACTAAATGCTTTAAGGAGATGAAAGTAGACCTAGAATATATTTTTAAGAAAATAAGGCATGTATACAAGTTTTTTATATTCCTTGGCTGTTTGTTTGACACCAGGGACCGGAAAGGTTAGAATACGAGAAGCCCAATTATAACAACGTAGCATATAACATTACAATAGCCAATCTGTTAAACATGTCCCTTTTGTATTAATAATCTAATTCTACAGAACGTTGAAATCAAAGGTATCAACATTGCATCCTGAGGCTTTTGCGGAAGTAAAAAGGAGGTTTCCCGACATGGAAGAGGAAACGTAATATACTATTGCATAGAGAGATAAGAATAAAGCGTTGATAGTAATAGCGAGCTCGTCAGCCAGATGTTAGTTGATAGAGACGTGATATTTAATATAACCGAGATGGCAATCTTTTGTGCATGATCTATCAAATGCTGGGTACAATGACGTTCTGTCCATTTTTTTTTACATAGAATTTTATTTGTAAAGTAACTAAAAAATGACGTAAGAAAAGGCGGAAATCCGCTTTCATATTCTTGCAGCGAAAGTGGGGTTTCAAGTTTCTGCTTTTTCTGACGTATGAATTCCATATAGCCTCTCCCATTTCAGCTGATATGGTCCAGAAGTAACTATCAATACATATTTGTTGACTATCGTTATTATTATTAGTATGCCAGTGATAATATCTGTCACGCAGTTATTAATATCGACCTGATAACCAATACAGAACTCAGAAAAAGGGTTCAGACGTTAAAGACAAAACAAATCTCTTTAATAGGGGATTTTTCTTGATAAAATCCCAGTCTTAAATTGCAGGCGACTGATGGGATTCCATCAACACCTGTTACTTCTGCTCCTACGATCGACTATAATGTGGTATGACACGCAGTTTCCGTAGGGGATGAAGAAAAATAACACGAAAAACGGTTCGCAAAATGCTCTGCTGGGCCACTATCAATTTCGCCAACGCCTGGTGGCTAAAGCAGAAGAATTAGGGGTCCGTGTTATTATCCAAAACGAGG